TAAGCAAACGACATGTAGTTTTCTGTATTAAAAAAAAAAAAAAAAAAAATTATTAAATGTTCAATTAAATTCGAATTATTGGTACTTTATTAATTTGTCCATCATTTTTTAATGAGCTTATTGAAACATGATGTTGTCAAAGTGACCTCTCTTGTGTAGATAGTTCGTGAAGAATGTTGGATGTTGTGTGTGTGTGAGTTCATGCGTTGTATTGATCGCCCAAAGGAAAATTAATACTTGGCCGAACTGCATACACACTTGTGATGGTAAACATGTAACAATTATAAGGAATTATATGTGAGTAATAAATCGATCCAAAGATAGATTTATTATTTGACATGCATTATTGCTAATGTTTGATCATTACAACAAGATTACCACTTGCAGTTAATATTACTGTCCAAAGACTTGATATTAATGTTGCATTAGGTGTCTTGAGATGGGAATTATCATTATTTGAATTTTTATTTTTTTTTTTTATTATTATTTTATGAACATGTTATTTATGTAATCATTTTGTTCATTTTTCAGTTGTTGCTACTGTATCTGCTAATCTCAATTCAGTTCCAATCCTTAAGGGTGACAGCTTTAAGGATTGGAAAGAGAACATTCACATTGTTCTTGGCTGCATGGATTTAGACCTTGCATTAAGAATGGAAAAACCCGCTCCTCTTACGGATGCTAGTTCCTCCGAGGATAGGAGGATCTATGAGAAGTGGGATCGTTCTAATCGCTTGAGTCTTATGATCATCAAGCGCGGCATACCTGAGGCTTTTAGAGGTGCGGTGTCTAGTGAGATCACTGATGCTGCAAGTTTCCTTGCTGAAATAGAGAAACGCTTTGCAAAAAGCGATAAGGCTGAAACTGGTATTCTTTTAAAGAAACTGATTTCAATGAGGTTTAGTGGCAAGGAAAGTATAAGAGAGTACATCATTGAGATGTCTAACATTGCTTCAAAGCTGAAGTTGCTAAAACTCGAGTTGCCGGATGATTTACTCGTGCATTTAGTTCTTATTTCTCTTCCTCCACAGTTTGACCAATTCTTGGTCAGCTATAATATGCAAAAGGAGAAATGGACTCTTAATGAGCTTATTTCACATTGTGTGCAAGAGGAAGAAAGGTTGAAGCATGGAAAGACTGATAGTGCTCATTTGGTAAACACCTCTAAAGAAAGGGGCACTAAAAGAAAGAATGAGGCTGCTAAAAATAAGGGTCCTTCTCAAAAGAAACAAAATAAAGTTCAATCTCAAAATCCTGAAAATGGAGGTTGTTTCTTTTGCAATAAGGAAGGACATCAGAAGAAGGAATGTCCAAAATATCACACTTGGCGTGCGAAGAAAGGTACATTTCTATCTTTGGTCTGTTCTGAGGTAAATTTGGCTTCAGTACCAAGAAACAC